ATGACTGTACCTTATATTCTCATACTTTATTGCATCCAGTTCGGCGACATTTTAATTTCATGAATGTTTTTATTCGCCACATCTCAAAATTTTCCATTTCAGAATATTTATCATCAAACTGTAATCTACGTTAAAAGCCAATTTGTCAGTAAAAAAAGTAACAAAAAAAAAACAAAAGAAAATATAAGACATAAAAACGAATACTGCGACCTCAAAATATCTTGTTATACATTATTTTTTAATAAAATTTTATAAAAGTTTGTCTTCAAAATCTTGTTTGTATGTACCCTTGCTAAGTTGTGAATTAATTATTCAATAAATAATATTACTCTGGTATACTCGTATTATTCTAATTACCCCATAACCGCTCTGAATAGAAGACTGCCCACTCGATTTATTGTATAGACCCAAGACTTTTCACCACAGGGAGTTGTAAGTAGGTATAAAGGTAAATTCTAGTACAAGATGACGTTTAGAATATTCTTCGTGAATGGATTTTGGTTTCGTAAAGAATGATATTTTTGAAATTGATATCGCACTGAATTTTACCGTTAGGATTTTCGAGGATAAGCCTTAACAATAACAATCCGTCTTATAACATTTTTGTATTTTCTTTATTGTACGTAAAACTCAGCGTTTACTCGAAAATAATGACAAAAAGACTAGGATTACAATTTATTTCTTGAATTGATTATAAATCCAACAAAATTGATGTCAATATAAAAATAAATACGGCAAATAAATAACTGCGTATATAGTAGTAACACTGAAAAAAAATATTTAATCTGCTCATATATATTTTATATTCTGTATTTAGAAACAGGGCTAAAATCGCTAAGAGAAAAAAACACATACATAGTAATAAGTCTATTCTATACTGTTTTCTTTACAAATAGTGCAACATTCTGTATTCTTTGTCTCTAACCCATACCATCTTGAAAAAACGTTTTCTCACATATTACTAAAATAAATAAAGTACTTAAGATAAATGAGTACAATCGAAAATTACAATCATCAACGATATCTAGGGATATTTTAACATTTTTATTTCTATTTTCGAAAATAATTAATTTGATAATAATAAATTTTGTACATATTTAATAATGTGTAACGAAATACAACCAGTAGTGAGTTTTCGGAAAACTTTAATGTTTTAAAAAAACAAAAAACTCAACATAAATTTGCGAGATTTGTCAATCTAAGAAAAAAAAAATGAGATGACCTTAAAGGAACATCCAACAGAATCAAATAACACATAGGAAACAGAAAAATATAATATAATCCATTTTAAATTCAGTTAAAGAGGTGCTTAGGACAGAGGGGCATAAAAAGAAGAAAAGATTGGTTCGCTACAGAATGTGAAACCAAAATCAAACAGTAAAACTAAGCAAGAAATGAATGGATATCAATTAAAGAAGAACATCATCGAAATGAATACAAAGAAAAAGAAAGTAACAGACCAATCTTGCAAAAACAAAAAGAGGTTGTGGATGGAAGAGAATAGTAACGACAGGGCTAAGCTATTTGGATACTTAAACGCTTAAGAAGGAAAATGCAGACCAGTGGTTAAAATTGACAATGGATCATGGGAAACACATTTCATAGAAGTATATAGATGCAAAAAGCCCCGAAAAGAATGCGCAACAGAAGACATGCGAGATAATGAAATAACAACAATAAAATAAGGACAGCAAATGGTGTCAAGTGAAAATAAGGTGGTAACAAATAATTACAAATATAAGAAACATTCATTGTACGAAACAACTTTTGCCAAAACAATAAAGTTAAGAATCCGCTGACCCAGTCAATCCAGAGAAATACGAACTTCCACGAAGCAACATAAACCTAAGGAATACTGGTGAAGGTTGTGTTATCATCTGAGATTAATTATTATCATTATTGTTACCCTTTGTAACTGCTGATTATATTTGTTGTTCTGCTCTTTTTATTATTATGTCCTGATTTTAGTAGTATCCTGATTTTAAAAATCTAGAAACTCGGTTTTCTCGTTTCAATATGTGTAAAAGTCAACAATTTTCTTCTTCTTCTTTTTCTATTTGTTTCGATTTCATACACAACATCAGGTCCTACTATTTTCATATCCAGTATATTTATAACATTCTAGATAGTTCAAAAAAGTATTTGCGAAACATTATTTTTTCAATTAAGTATGTATAAAACCATAATTTTTAAAATTAGTCATTTTACAGAACGAGAATGAGGTTATAGATATCTTATTAAACATCCCTAGACACTTTTGGTGTATGTAACTACAGTATGTTTATAAAGTAAGGAATAAATGTCAAAATGTTAAAGTATGATGCAGGTATCATCAAAATTTCTTTTGAAGCTTTGCATATGTAAAGTGTAATGTGTTTGCATGTGTCAGATTCAATATAGAGAAGCAAAAGCAAGTAAGAAGAAATCTGAAATAATAGAAGGAAGTATATTTGTAAATTTAACCCAGTAAAAAACAAAGTAATATGGGAGGTACTTAGCACGGCTACGACAGATGAAAACCAAATACATCATATCCTAATATCCAAAAAATACAAAACTACCACAAATGAAGTAAAATCCTATAGAGGAGCAAATGCGGATAATAAACATGCTTACATAAATGTTTCAATAATTTTAAGTTTATGCAGTTTATTTTATTGTAACTAAACTCCTACAATGCAGAAACCCTTTTAGGCACCGCCATGGGTGCGGACAGGTCATTTAAGGGTAATAAGTTCGCAAAATTTATATCAGTTATAACGACTTCGGTGAATGTACATGTTGTTTGTACGTTGTTTTTCTTGGAATATGGCTGTTTTGTTTGCCTGCAAAAATCTTTCATTAGAGTATGGTTGTGAAATTATGGCTGAGAAATTTGCTACATATGTTCAAATTGTTACTTTGTTTGATAATGGAATGAGTCAAAGAGAAGTGGCCGGTCAGCTTGGAGTCAGTCGTTGTATGGTCCAAAAATCATACCAACCATTCGTAGAGGCTGGATCTCACAAACGACGACCAGGATCAAGCGCGAGAAGAATCACAAGAACCAGAGAAGATCGTTCTTTACAACGCACTTCCTTGCAAAATCGGTTCTTTACGGGCTAGAGCAATACAAAACCGTTTCAAAGTGCTCACAGGTGGACGTTAAGCACTTCTACAGTGAGAAGAAGGTTGAGGAAATTTGGTTTTAAGAGCTCGCTGCCCAGCAACAGGACCTTTGTTAACAGCAGCACATTGACAAAGCCGACTTGAGTTTGATAGAGACCACGAGTAATGAACGATAGAAGATTGGAAAAATGTTTTGTTTAATGAAGAGTCCAGGATGGTTTTTTATGGCTCAGACGGTCGCATCAAAACGTACAGAAGACGTGGGGAACGATATGCTGTTTGTGCTAGACAAGCACGTGTTGCTTTTGGAGGAGGCTGTGTAATGTTTTGGCAGGCATTTTTTTCATTCGAAGGCCGTAATGATCTGGTGTTTATTAATAGAGAAGCGTTGAATGCTCACCGATACATTACCGAAATTCTAGACGAGCATGCATGGATTTGTGGACGAAAACTTTATTTTCATACAAGAAAACGCGCGGCCACACGTAGCCAGATTGTTAGCGCAATACCTGGAAACCGTCGGTGTGGCAAAAATGAATTGGCCGACTCGAAGCCCAGATTTGAACCCGATTGAGCATATTTGGGACAACTCAAACGAAGAGTAAGAAACAGAATACCTGCTCCAATAAATCGTGAGCAGCTTCGTTTTGCGCTCATGGAAGAATGGAAAGCTTTTCCTCAAGACCACATCCAGAACTTGATCAATTGAGTGCAACATAATTTTGGGAGAAGTTTTTTTTTTACATTTTTTATTTAAGAATGCAGCTTTATAACATTCTTAAACATTACACAAACATCTAATAACGATCAATTTCTTGTAGAGTTCTTAAAAATAGGCATCTTTTTAATGACGCGCAGTGTAAAATAAACGCAATCCAAAACAGAAAGTCACTTGACGAGAGCGTAACATATTCATGTCTATTCACTAAAACAGTGAATAGACTAGTCAAAGTCAGTATAGACTTTGCTAGATGTAAAAAACGGGAAATCAGACAAAAAAGCTGGTGAAACCTTCATAGTACGTAGGTCTAGGTTTAATATGAGCAGGTGCTTAACCAACCTTCCACTCGGCCTAAGAGATCTATTGTAGCTTTCATGATAAGCAGCAAAATAAAAAAAAACAGAAGAAACAACTTAATAACAAAGAGAAATCAAAATCATGATCAACATTTCCACACAAATTATCAGAATACGTCAAACCCTACAATTTGTGTAAACCTTGCAGTATTAGAGACAAAAACTACTTAGAAATGACATTAATAATTCTTCGGATACTAAAAAGATCCAAACTGGATGCTAAAGACAGAAAACGAAAAGGAATGGAATCTAATAACAGACAAAGAAAAGAACTATTTAATCAGTGATGGTGGTGATAATTGTACTACTTAATGTAACAATTTTAATTCACAACCGCATTTACTATATACAAAACCTAACATTTGATAACAAAAATTTTAAATTCGCTAATCGTAAAAGTATTCTGTAATTTTGAAGCAGTAGTACTCTGTTAAAATAAAAATACTCTGGCAGCACAGGTGTTTCGATTTAACTGCTTTTGAAAAAGATGACATTTATTCCAAATTTTTGTACACACTTTTGTCTTACAAGACACTACCGATTTGGTATTGGTCCGTTTATGAAAAAGAGCTGACAACGTCGCAATTTTAAATATTTTATAGAGCAAAATATGTAAATTATTTTCCAAAATCTACGATCAATACTCGTATACAATTATTAGATAAATTTGGAATTGCAATAGCTAGTTGTCAGCTCTCTATCTCAAAATATATCTAAAATATGGATAAAATTCTGAAAGAGAATACAATTAACTAGCAACGTAGAAGTTTTTATAAAATAATCCACGCTAGATTTTTCATTATAGGCAGTTCCTTTCAATCTTCCTCGGTAGCATTTCTTCGTGCTAAACGTTCAGCACGAGAACTGCCGCTAGATGTCGCTTCGGGATCTAAAAAATAATGCGTAGCTTGATGTAAACGTAAACTATCATATTTTTGGGACATACATAAGCTTGGTGCATGAACAATTATTAAGCAGTACAAAAAAAATTCTACTTAGGAGACACAGTAGTTAAGTATTAGAAATTTACTTTTGAACAAATTGATTAATAATACATTTTATATTACAATAATATAATAATTAATATACCTTGTATGGGATTTTTTTTTTTTTTTTTTTCCTGAAAAATGGCTTTGGCAGAGCCAATTAGCCAGACTTGTTTGTGTTGATTGTTAAAATCGACTGAATTTTAATTATTATAGATTGCAGATTCATAGTCAAAATTTTCTTATCAGTTATCAATGTTATTACTACATATAACCTAATATTTGTATGGGATTGTACATTTATAAAAACAACTTTCAGACAATATATTTTGTCTTCTAGTTTTCTTTAAAAGTCGATAATATATATATAGTACAGTCGTTAGAGATTGGAGCTCTAAAAACCATACAAACAAGTTGAATTTTGTTAAGTAGGGTAAAACGTCAGTTATTGGACATTACAGTGTTAACTGACAATTACAGTCTTCTCTCTCTATAACGATATGCAAGGGACCGGGAATTCTCATCGTTATAAGGAGAGATTGTTATATAGAGAGAGACAAAATTCGGTACTGTAATATTAATAATACTGTACTAAATAACCTATTTTAATTTAAAAAATGTATCAAAACGAATATAAATGAATTAACACTGTATTGTACACCACATTGATTTATTAAAGAATAGTATAAGCAATACAGTATAAAAAAATGACTGTACAATTAAAATAGGTCTACTGTACAATAACAAAATAATATATAGTGTAAAACATATTAGCCATTACCAAAAAAGTCCGTCACCTTGGTCTGTTTCCTTTTCCCTTGCCACAGAACTGACCCTGACCTTGTCCTAAAGATGCGTAGAATCTTTCACAGCACTCATACCGTCTTCCTGTTGTTTGAAGAAACGATGCAGTACTTTTGCCTCATCGAATGCCTGCTGAGGGTTCGGAGCTGTCCGTAGGTGACAGTAAGTTCAAACTGTCTGGCTCAAACATCTAATGGCAGGTCATCTTCATCATCAGTCAATACTTGATCTTCCAGCCATCCTGTATGTTTGATTTTTAAACTCTTGATGACACTTTATTCCATGGGCTGAAGGACACGTTGTGTTTGCTAGCAGAAAACAAAGTTTAATGTTTTGAAGATCGCACAGTAAAGGATGAGCAGGACAATTGTATACAAGCATAAGAATTTTTTTCCCTTCTAGCTCGATATCCCAGTTTCTTATCGCTTCTTCAAAAATTTCCGAAGTCATCCATATACTGTTTTTTGCTTTATAGGTCACCGGTAGATTTTTTATATTTTTAAAGCAAAGTGGGTTTTTCGACTTCCCTATCACTAACAATTTTCGCTTCACCGAACCTGTCATGTTAGCAGCCACTAAAACTGTAATGCGTTCCTTAGAGAGCTTTCCACCAACACAGTTTTCCGATTTAAATTTTCAAGTTTTGTTTTGTGTCATTTTAAAAAACAGTCCAGTCTCATCAGCATTGAAAATGTCGTCTGACGCATATTGTACCTTCAGTCCAGACCACACGTTTTCTAGCCAATCGTCCATTACGTTTTTGTTAACATCGCGAGCCTCTTCGCTGATTTGACCGTAGTTGATTTTGTGCCGCAACTTCCACTTGCTCAGCCAACCCTCAGATGCCTTAACATTCTCAATTTCAAGCTCAGTTGAGTAGCCACAGTTGACTGAGACAGCCCCGTACGGCGAACAACATCCGATTACTTATCACCTTTCTGTATTGCTTGAGGTATCGATAACTTTTCCTCCACCGAGAGCACTTTACGCTTTTTTGAAAACATGTTGACTGTTGACTCACTGGACAAACTGGAAATGAAAAGTCTTCAATAGATGACAACATCTGTGTGATAACAGCCGCCCGATCAATCAACTGCTGGACAATGACCTTGCCATTCCTGACTCAGATAGTCTGAACTTTAAATACAATAATACATTTGTGATCGACTATTGAACGCTGAAAAGTCATCGCTATAAAGAGAGAACGATATCGGTATGGAGAAAGAATTAATACATTGTCCTTATGATGAACCAACCAAAGTTTACTATTTTCATCGTTATAGAGGAATTATCGTTATATAGGGAATCGTTATAAAGAGAGACTACTGTATAAGATTTCTGCAAGTGCTAACAGGTGTATATTTCACTAGGTGGCACTAATCGTTTCTATATTACGTACATTATTAGTTTCGTTCGCGGTACGAATCCTGGACGCGTTCAGGATGCGTTTAGAATCCTAGTAGTCATAGGGTTGTACGCAAGCGCGGTTCATAATCAGTTCAGGATTGATTTACACCGCGAACGAATTTTGAACAATTTTCAGTTCTGATATAGAACAACCCGAAGGCGCAGTCGACTCGGCGGGAATTGATCACGCATCTGGTTTGCGCATTGCCAGCGGCCATATTTTATTTAGATTAGAGCACATTTTATAGTCTAGTTTAGAGATGAGCATTGTTAGAAAAACAACAGAATGTCTCGAATAAACAATAAACCGTTTAAAGTTCAGAGTGACAATCACCAGAATAATAAAAATGTTCTATGTTCCTATTTTGAAATTTCTAGTGTTTCTATTGCGCATGTACGAACTCCGAGTTCTCTTCAAATCCCAAGGATCGGTTGAACTGGTTCTGAACTGCAAGTTCTGTTACCGCGAACGACAAGATTCCGGACTAGCAGTCCCTGTCAGTCCAGAACTTGATCAGCGCGAACGCTCATTTTTACACCGCGCATGCGAAGTAATCCAGAACGAGTCCAGGATTCGTACCGCGAACGAAACTATTATGTATATGTTCTGCCTTTAACGGGTTCTGTGATTTTGGCGGTAAATATTTTTAGGTTATGCGAGTGAAGTGACATTTAAGCATTGTGTTAAGGATCTGCTCTGAATCTTTTTTTCAAAACTACGTATTATTTTTAAGGTAAGATTGTATTTTTATTTAAAGGGTGTAGTAAAGGCACTTATAGTCCCTAAGGTAGATCGCATACAGTAACAGGGATTTTAATTCGGATTTAATTACGCCTGTCCAATAACTAAACTAGAAAACTTGCTGAATTCTATTATCGTACACGTGTTCAATCACTAGATAACTATACTTACCACATATTCAATTTTCAACGGATTTACGGGATCATTAACTGGAGATAGCAGTAAAATTAATTTAGTAATCGATTTGACAATTATTGGACAGTAAATTTGACCCTCCAATCACTAGATTGATTTTTTAGGATTGTAGTAAAATGCCTGAAAATATGGCATTCCGAAGTCCACTATAGAATTTAAATTAAAACATCCGGAACATAAAGATACACTTGGACAGTCTCCTATTTTAACTTGCGAGGAGGAGAAATCTCTGGTTAGATACGTTCATTAAATTTATCTTAATCCATAACATTATTTGATTTTACATTCAATATTCCAGATGGATACAAGAAACCGCCTCAAAACATTTCCCCAAAACGGCTTACGATTTAAAAAGCAGCGTGAAAAAATTTTTATCCGAAAATCCGCAAAGATAATCGACCTGGAGATGGATGGTTAAAAGTAAGTCACCAAAAAAAATGTATTTTAATTTGTATTTATCGTTTGGTTTTTTTTAGAAATTTTTGAAGCGGCATCAAGAGGTTTCTAAAAGGACAATTGAAGGTGTGACGGCAGCTAGCGCTTGAACGAGACATCAAAAACTGGTTTAAAAATATTGAAAACTATTTTAAAGAAAAACATCTAGAAGAGGTTCTAACTGATCCATCAAGAATTTTTAATGGAGATGAAGTCAGGATTTCAAATATGTCCATCTACTGGAAAAGTATTTGCCATGAAAGGTTCAAAAAATGTTTATAATGTTGAAAAAACCTGTTCAAGCGAAAACGTCACTGTGATGTTTACGTTTTCAGCATACGGTAAAATTCTTACCCTTCGTTTGTGTTGGTTCCAAACATGTTCAACCGGATTCAAATCTGGACTTCCGGATTCTAGCGAATTTAAATCTATTGTTTGGGAAAGTAAACACGTTCAACTTCATGTAAATGAGGTGGTATTTCGAGGACAAAAAACAGTTTCCAGAAAAAATTAAGAATGTTTTATTTATTTTCTTCACGCCACGATGGTTGTGTATTTTTTACCACTTCATAGTGTGGCGGGGATCAACGCTTACCTACTGTATCACAGGAATCATCCCCAAAAAGGAAAAATAGAGTTGCCAGTGTTCAGAACACAAGTAGCTGAATCCCTCAACTTGTGGGGCATAGCTCCAGTCAAACCACCTGTTGGTCAACCTTCTAGTTATTCACCTAAAAAAACTGCAAGAGCAAATCTTCCGACGGACGACATCCGTTACGATCAAATAGGCCAATGGTATGTATTTCGGAATCGTACTGGTAAAAAACAGTGCAAATTTACAAAATGAACATCCGAAACCCAAGCAAATTGTATAAAATGCAATTTATCTTTATGTAATTTAACCACAAAAACTTGTTTTTATTTACTTAGTTTGATAATTAAAAAAAATAAATGCTGTTACCTTAATGCATGGTTACTGCACAAGTCCGCCTCAAGACGGATGTCTGTTTTTCCTTTTAGAAGTACACCTGGCAGTAATATCAATTTTTGCCTCAGTACATTTGTGTTCGTAAATGCAAAATCTAACTTTCCTGAATTTTTCAGCTCGAACAAAAATTGATGCATTTAGAGGGTTAAACAATAAAGATATTTAGTAACATTGTTAAAACAGTAAGCGTGTATATGAACACGTTTTTATTATTAAATATGGTAATAGCTTTATGTGAGTTAGGTTTTTTTATGACACTAAAGATCTAAACAAAACAAAACAAAAGGGTATAAAATAAAATAAATCATCTACTTACTCTTAGATTCTACCAGCAAAAAATAAGGATGTGGAGGAAGCAGGGAAAGGTAAAAATAAAATAAAACCCCAAATAAATATAAAGACTAATCAGTTACCTTTATATATAAACTCCATGAACACTAATATAATTTATAATATTATTATACTACTTCCTTTACGTGAAAAATTCATAATCAAAAACTTAGAACTTGAACGGCATATTTACACAACTATATTGGTGTTTATCCCTGTATTATGTTACAAAGAACTTTCTTCAAAAGATTAATACTTTGTCAATAATTTACTGAATACAATGTATTTCAAAAAGTATGGAAAAGCATGCTTGTATTTATTTAAAAAGAGATATTCTATTAATAAGAGGCCAGAACTTATAAGTAATTTCATTTGCTATAACGAGTAATCAATTTAACTAAAAAAAAAACTTATTTTGATACACATATACTTTAAAGTTTCCATTGATTATATAAAAATTGGGAAAAAATGTATTGTAGGAAATGCTATAACGCTATTTAGCAGCTCTCTCTACCTTGACCTAATGCCTTGTAATATTGTTAAATTCAAGTCGAAAAAAGATTTGTGTAAATTGGCAGGGCCAATCCTAAGATGTTAACAGACGTTTCGAATCTGAAAGGTGATAGTGATATGTTAAAAGATCAAGTGATAAAACAGACAAAAAATGTTTTTATTCAGTCACCAACAATTATATAAAATCAAATTAACACTGAATATACATATAATCAAAAACTTAGTTATAGAATCATTTTCCATAAGTCAAATCATAAAACAATAAATAACTACTGAGTTATGAGGAAAAATGATGTAGTAACTCAATATTCGTGACTATTCGTGTGCTTCCGGTCTCTTATAACATGGACCACATTCAAAGAATTTGCATGTTTCTATTTCGCATCTTTTTGAAAAACATTGTATAGAAAGGCAGATAATTCTATCGACTCTTAAATACACAGCTAAATTTAATCTATAACTAGTTATATTTATCAACGAATTGACGGACAGAAGTCAATAAAATCTCTCACCCTGGAGGGCCTAAAATGTAGGATTGCAATGTCACAATAATAAACAATATCCCGGTTGCAAATGTGTTTTTATTTATTCTACTTGTTTGATAACAAATCCATTAAAACGTATATAATTTTTTACAAAGAAAAATCGGTTTAGAATTACTTTTGAAAACGGCAAAATAAAAATAAGCGGGTGTACAGCGTTCGTCTAGCGAATGGTGCATAACAAAAAAGCATTATTTACCTAAATAAACGAAATCATCATATTATCTAACATTATAGGCATGTATAAACAATATTAGTAGTTTTTATTTTGAAAACGTACATTATAAATTATCAACAAACGGTTTTTGGTTGTAGCCTGATGAATAAATAGTTTTTGGTATGTTTTTGAAACTTTTTACAAAGGAAAAATTAATATGAGAACATAAGTTCTAATATTAATTAATATGGTTCTCATATTTTTATTAATATTTATTAAAAACATTAGCCTCGTGGTTTTTTTATTTATTTTCAACAATAGGAAAACATTTTTGTCATTATGCCCAGATTTGAACTATGTGTTGGGAGTACAATAGAAGTCGAGTTATTCGAAGCTTTCACCTCGACTGTCTCAAAAGAAAAGTAAAAACTCCTGTGACTGCCATGAATCGTCTAAAGGTATGGGAAAGTTGCGTTTTATCATTCATATATTACATTCTGTAGACTTGCTACGTAACATGAGAAAATTTTGTTACAACACTTTTGAAAAAGTCTTCCGAACAAGCCAGAGATGGTGGCTTTACCAGTATTGGGATCAGGAAACATATATTCCGGTAACATAAGACTAACAGAAACGTAGTAGGTGAGAAAGGCAGTAATCAATATTCTGCTGTTGTACATTAAAATATGTCAAGTTGACAATATTTTGTGGAAATAAAAAAATGTTGCATTTTTGTCTTGTTTTGTTAACGGTTAATATTAAACACACTAATTTACAAACTAATATTGTTATTGACAACGTCAGTCTTTAAAATGTAGACCACTATATACATATATCTTGGACATACCATTAAAATCGGCGAAGAAGATCAAATAGCCGAAATAAAAAGACGCATAAAATTGTCTTGGGTAGCTTTCGACAAATTAAGCTTTATCATGAAGAATAAAGATATACCAATGTGTCTAAAACGTAGAGTTTATGATAAATGTATCTTGTCTATAACTACATATGGACTGGAGACCATGGCCTTTACAAATAAAACCTTAGAGCAGCTCGGTACAACCCAAAGATTGATGGAGATGGCCATGATAGGGATTAGTTTAAGAGACAGGATTCGAAAAATCGACATTCGTGAAAGAACAAAGATTACTGATGTCGCAGTACGTATAGCAAGGCTCAAGTGGCAATGGGTCGGACATGTTGCCTGAGATAATCCAGAAAAATGAACACAGAGATTAACAATCTGAAGACCAAGAGAGAACAATCGACGAGTAGGCAGACCACAGTAGAGGTCGGCAGATGATATCAAACAAGTCGCAGGCAAGCAGTGGATAAGAATTGCCAAGAGTAGAAATTAATAGAAGCAAATGGAAGATTCCTATGGCCAGCAGTGGACGATACGGTCTGAAGAAGAATTAAACACACATAAAGAACAAGAAAACACATAAAGAACAAGAAAAATGAGATATTCACAATAAAAATGTGAATATATGTACATACATTTTGAAAGATCTCTAACTTTGAAACACGACAGTTGAAAGTTTTATAAGAAGATGGCGTTAGGGCGACCCTAGTAACATCATAATCCGCGGAAAATTGTACATTTTGAAATTCCGTATTAAAAAAAGTTCGATATTGTTCTCCCAACACTGCTTCCTACCACCAATATACAGTCGAAGATTCTGAAGTTCCGACACCTCTAAATTGCTTTGAAAAATATTTTTCGCCAGAATTGTGAAACTCTTTAACCCATCCTAGATATTTGACATGGCGGCGTTGATCACTGGTCTGTTGCTTCTTCATGACATGAGTAGCTGTGTACATTGAACAAGAGTAATCTCTTTTCATGTTTAAACAACAATTGTTTTATTTCATTGTGACCTGATGGTGGCAATTGCCACCCTCCCCCATTTTTATGTTTATATTTTTTGTCTTTGATATGGATTTATAACATTTAGAAGGTATATGAAAGTAGAAATCATCAAAAATGTTTAAATAAACTTCATAAAGTCCAGGTCCAAAATTGCAAGTTTAAGTTGAGAAATCTGGTTACTGACAAAATCGGATAAACAACAACTGGTAATAATTGAAAGATATATCCTGTGGTATATTTATATTTATAATGCTAAACCTAATAACCCACATGTTTAGAAAACGATCTAGGATCGTTTGAAATGATCGAAAGTAAGTTTCTATGGACCAAAAACAGGAAGATAAATATTTCACAACTGTCTGGTGGTGTCTCACGATTGCCAATTTTCTTTTATATACGAGGCATACAACTATTCTATAGCATGTACCTATACGAAGTATATTAAAGTCCAAACACGAAGGGATTTAATCATCACCAATCAAATCTTTCAAAAACTATTTTCACGTTAACACATTCCAAAGATTGTTTTTTCTACTTTTAAAAATAATTTTTTATCAGCTCCAGTAGTCAATATAATTCCACTTTCGATAGAATCCAAACAATATAACTGATAAAAATGTCTTGTAAGTATTTTTAGGGGATGACTCTTTTAATACCTTCAAGTAAACGTGATTTTAAAAGAAAAAACATGTTTATCTGTAGTCTTAAAATGAGTATAAATAAACCAATTATTTTGTGAATCTATACGATTTAGGCATAGTACGCAGATTAAAATAAAACATTGCTTATACCAGATGATTTCATCGTTCTTAGGCAAACTTAACATCAATGTTCAAAAATAATAATTAACAGAATTATTGTGAATAACAATTGACATCACAACTCTTATTACACAAAATTGTCTATCAGTATATTAGCTAGTTATAATTTGATCGAACTAGATATATTTTACAAATCAAAATCTTTTTTAAAGTACTGTTAATCATCACTTTTTACATTGACGTCGCTTTCTTAGACAAATTTACCTACTTTTGCTAGTACTAGGCGAACTCTTTTCTTCTTTTCCATTTGCCGTGGACTTTGCAGGCTGCGGGATGATCGTGATTTCGTCATTAATCTTTAGAGGTTTCAACTGATCAGCAGTCGACGGCTTGGGAGAACTGTTGGAAGTTGTCGAGGTCGTGGAGCCCTTCTTGTCCATGACTCGCTTGGCGACGACGCTGTGGGCGGAATATACGTGGTTCTCGAATTGTTTGTACATGCCGAAGGTGGCCGTGCACACTGTGCATTTGTAGGACAGATGCGCGGGTTTCAACGTCATGTTATGATCCCTGGCCACGTGGTTTAGTAATTTCCATTGGTAGACCTTAAAAAAAATTAATTACTAATAAGTAAAGCTTGCAAAATGCATACTTCTGAGTATTTAACGTGGTACAGTAGGTGATAGGGTGATGGAAGGTAAAGAAAGAAGAACAAGAACGAATCACTGGTTTGACGAAGAATGTCAAACTATAACAGAAAAGAAAAACAGAGCATATCTACAGATGCATACAGAGGCACAGAACCCGACAAGCAGAGGAAGAATATAAAACAACTACGTAAAGAGGAAAAGAAAATTCACCGAAGAAAGAAGAGAGAATATATCAACAAAGAACTTCAAGAACTACAAGAATTAAGTAAACCAACAGAGACAAAGAAATTTTACCAGAAACTCAACAAAAGCAGAAAAGAGTTCAAACCGAGAACAACGATGTGTAAAGATAAGGAGGGTAATATGTTGACAGAACAGCAAGAGATACTTAAAAGATGGACAGAACATTTTAAGGAAAAGCATGGGGTGAATAGGACGGAGATGAACCCTGATATACCATTAGACCAAGCAGACAACAGAGAAAAGAGTCCACCAACAATAGCAGAGATTAGAATAGCAGTGGACAAATTAAGAACAATAAATCACCGGGATCGGATCAAATATCATCGGAGCTACTGAAAGAAGGAGGAGACGCATTACTTAAAGCCATACATGAGCTGATAAGAAAGATATGGTTGAATAAACAGCTACCAAAGGAGTGGAATAGCGGCATTATTGTACCACTACATAAAAAAGGAAACCAGTTAGAATGTGAAAACTACCGTGGAATCACGCTGTTGAATGCGGCATACAAAATAATGTCTAACGTAATGTATGAAAGACTTAGACCATACGCTGAAAAAATAGTTGTGGCAAATACCAATGTGGCTTCTGTAGACAGAAGTCAACAATAGACCAGATTATTGTTTCTGCGACAGATCCTTGAAAAAACAAGTGAAATATAACATCGACACACATCATCTCTTCATAGACTTCGAAAGCGCATATGACAATATAAACCGAGAATTCTAACAAAAGCAATGAAAGAATTTAATATATACCAACACAGCTAATAGAATTGGTAAAAGAAACACTAAAAAGTAGAAAGTAAAATCCGGATACATAACGAATTAACGGAAAACAATAGATGTGAAAGAAGGGACTACGGCCAGGGAGACGCTCTATCATGCATATTATTCAACATCATACTTGAAAAAATAATAAGAGACACAACAGTTAATACCCTAGAGAACAATAATTAATAAAAGCGTGCAAGTACTACAGCATTTGCAGATAATGTTGACATAATCGCAAGTATCAAGAAGAGAATGATGATTAAGAGGGCTATGTCACTCCAATAGAACGTAGTGGCTTGCAAAAATTAGTGGTCCCTTAAAATGATCAAGGTCAATCATACAAAAACAAAATATATGTCCTGCAAATTAAAACTGCTCAATTTAGAGCAGCTGCCCAATTTTAACAATTGGTGAGAAGATACAATCAAACTGAGGCGGGTCAAAAATACTTTAGAGCAAAGAGTATACTTAGGATCCTCTTAGTTACTGTCCTGATAACATACGTTGGTCGTGGAGATTGAATGGAAGAAGATGTGAGAATGATTATATTGGGCCACTGTAAATGTTGTTATACTCCATGGCTTAATCTTAGGGCAACCTATAGTGAGATAGCAGATAAGCTTCCTCCAGAAAAGACTAAACAATGCCAAGTATATACAAAGAAATCCATTAAATACAGATAGACCGGGTGGACTTCTCACGACATACTGGTTGCAGTAAACCTGGACACTCTCAAATGAAAAGGAGGAAATTGGCCACCTTTTAAAGAGAAAAAAGAGTATAAAAAGATGCTTGGCGACAACATACTATAGTAAAAGTTGGAAGGGGTGACTAAATCAAAGGTGGTAAAAGTTAAATCGGTAGTTTTATTGGCGGGTATATGTAAATGGATGTGATAGATTAAAGAGTGAGGGTTTCTGGGAATAAGGATCTTGTTAATTAACCCCAAGATGTAATCTACCAACGGAAGCGGGTAATTAGACGCGACGGAAACTAATCACCACTGCCGGAGATGCCGGTATGAGTATAAATTAAGTTGACACAAGGATATTCGGTCAGATTCTCGTATATGCAGACTAAACTGGGTAAGTTATAACAAATATGATAAATGATATCAGATTCCGGTCCTAAACGCCGCGAGTGATCCTACCAGACAGTCTTCGAAGGTAAACATAGGTCTGGTACGCATAGTCAAAACCGCAGACTTCGGATAGACGTTGGATAGTCGCGCCTATATGAATGCATGAAAAGACATTGGAGACAATATAGATGAAATTGGTAACCATAACCCATTGAAAAGTACTCACCTCGCGAGCTTATCATGATGTTAAGGATTTCATTATTGAACCTGTTTATATTTGTGTAATATGAATTTTGAAGATGGATATTTATTAAGTTAGTCCCACAGAGAGTATATAAACTCTTTAAATAATTTTTAGTGTTTGAAAAACGTAGTAGATGTAGAGTTATTATATATAATTTAATACATTTTAATCTATTCCAAGTATTATTTTTTATTTGTTTTTACATTTATTATTCTATCAAAGTTGGTACATAGGGTGTAGTTCGAAAGTATGACAAAATATTTTAATCATTATTGTGTTGTGATTTTTTATTAATAAGTAAATAAAACGTTTTTGTGTAATATACAATTAACGAACTGATTACTAATAGTCAATTAATGAAACGGGTGTAGTTAAAGTATCCTTGCGTTTTGTGCATTTTGTGTATCTATCTATTCAACAGAAAATAAAGTAATACTTAGCGATAGGAGAGCTTTACGTCTTAGCAGAAAAAACGTCTCACATTTTATCTTAAGATCACTATTCCAACCTTGTTATAGAATCCTTAAGGTACCACCAATCAACAGCACAAGTTACCATGTATGGAAACATGATGAAGTTAAACTCAGTATGAAAAACCTATAAACAAATATATAACATAACATGTATTTATATTATTAATGTTTTTTAGGTGAGAGGCGGGATGGCAAAAATTGTTAAACTACCTTTTTTCGATCGATTAATAATAAACTAAATAGTTTCAAAATACCCTAGGCATTATTTACTAATGTCCGTTTGTTTGTTTTAGTTCAATGCGATCTCGAAGGAGCTGAATGAGGTGCTCAATATTTGATGTTATTGCACGATGCCCCAATGATCTACTGGTCCTGTATAACTAAAATGCATTTGTTAATAAGGGGTCGAAAGAAATTTCGAAAAAATATATTGCTAGAATATTTATCATACGTATTACCTACCATGTCGGCACAGCGCCAGGTGTTTTATTTTATGATATAGATTTTGTATTGGCCTACATCATCCTAGATAATACCTAAATTAGATAGTATGACATTATAAATATAAATACTCACGAAAAAGTCATTGTTAAGAGCACTAAAAGAAAACCGCACACCCCTCCAACCATACACACATACTACACTAGAAAGCAAGACCTCAATCTTTAGATTGCAAAGTATATTCGAATTTAAAACATGTGCTTTTTGGTTTGTGTATCAGCTCAGGAAGATCTAAAGGGGATGGAGCCCAGTTATAGGGTATTCCCTGAATTCTGTGCGATATTCCTACTAACTACAATATCGTAGTTTGTTTATTCGCCTTTGTTTTGTCCTATTCGGTGTTGTCCGACAGTCGCAATTTGGTGATGAGTATTATTTATTACTCGCCGATTCGTTAATAAAGTTGAGAGTCGGAAAACATTCAGCCCACAAGTGTGTCTATATACTATATTGAAAGATACTGACAGCGGTGATTACAGGATGTTTGAGGTTTCGTTTGGATTGTAATGAGGGAGTGGGTCGGTGACAAAATTCGTCATACTGGTTAATTAGTATGAAGTCGCTTTTTAATTTCTGTCTGCAAGGGTTTGCTATAGTAGATACATGGACTATTGGGTTACCAGTTTACTGGGTGTCTAGACGTTTTATTTCTTGTTAATCGCCATTGTTCGTCTCCACCGTTTCAGTTACTTAAAGTTTTGATCTATACTCAGCACTTTTTTTAGTGCTTTTTTTAGGAGGCGGGTGTTGTCTATGAATTCGCGGAGCCTATTTATTGTCTCCTGGCGTAGGGTGAATGTTTTACCGGTTGACTTAAAAAATAGGGGAAGGCGTGAGGGAGAGTCTCGAGGTGATCAGTATTGATTTATAGGTAAATTCCTGCTGTGACAAGCTAGCATAGTTTAAATGCTATAACGTGCGGGATGTGGTGAGCTATTATAGACTCAAAGCTGGTAGACATCAGGTAAGCTGGGGACGGTGGGACCGTAAGATTAGTAGCCCGGATATAGTTCGCATCATGGCTTGTTTTGAGTTGGAACAGATTCAAGACTACGGTTTAGGAGGGTTATGGTATGGAATGGTTGTGGGACACTCCGAGAAATTCCTGCAATCGAAGGTTATAAGCCGACATCGTTTTATCTTGGGTCCTAATTTAAGCTTGATGGTCGATGTGATAGTTTCTTAGAGCATTGGTTTAAGGGGGTTATTGGCTGAGGGTATACCCCATGTTGAGGTGTGCCTGTGCAGGAGGGCTGGTTTTCAGGTATGTTTGTTTTACGTAGTTCGGAGTGTTTTGCACACATTGTACCTTATTTAGTAAGATGCACTTAATATAAAGTTCAGCGTTCTCTGGTCAAGTTGTATACACCGTAAAGTTATCTGTTGGGTGTTTATTAATATTATAAGTGGGAGTCACTAGTTCCCCATATAATGTGCTTTAGAGGTAATGTATAGTTGGAGCCAGTTTTCGATATTGTAGCAAATTGGAAACGGCAGACGACTTTCTGAGGTCTTTCTTTTAGTATGGATTGGGTTTCAATTAGATCTCCATTAAGGAACGGAAATAAGATATACCCTATGGGCATTTAGAATAGATAATCGTTTATAGATATTCGGGGCCGTGATGACTAGTTGACGCT